AGAATGTGGGGGGAAATACCTCCCTAAGGTTTTTGAAATGCTGATGTGGTTTTCAATTTCACTTTAGACTTGTCCTGGGCTTGACCAGTATGCCATCAAGAAGTTTGCTGAGGCATTTGAAGCCATTCCTCGAGCACTGGCAGAAAACTCTGGAGTAAAGGCTAATGAGGTCATCTCCAAACTTTATGCTGTGCATCAGGAAGGGAATAAAAATGTTGGATTTGATATTGAGGTAAATAGTCTCTCACATTAGTTGGTGCTCTGCAGTACAGGGTTATATGTAAACATACTTCTATCAGTATGAAGTATTTACGAATTAATTGAAATCACTGAAGCTCTGTGTTGCACAGTCTAGAAGAATAACTTCTTAGAATTGTAATACCAAAGTGGGTTTTTTTCATCAGCAAGCAGTTAAATTCAATGTAGTATAGTGGCCTTATGTAGGAGGTAAAGTGAGATACTGAGCTAACGTGTGATGGAGAGTAAGCCTTTAGTAATTACTTATTTTGTCCTCTTGCTAATGGATTAGGATTGAAGGTTTTCTGAAGAGAAAAGATGAGATCAGAAGAGTGATAATTTGTTCTAAATGTGTAACCTCGAAAACCCAATAACTTGCTAGGTAGAAGCCTGAGAAAGTTTTGAATAATGTTTTTCCCCATCTGATAGGCTGAAGCTGCTGCTGTGAAGGATATGTTGGAAGCTGGTGTATTAGACACATACCTTGGAAAATCCTGGGGTATCAAGCTAGCTACAAATGCAGCAGTAACTGTCCTAAGGGTAGATCAGGTAAGCTTACAAGTAACTTGGGTGCTGAACTGAAACCTTTAACTCAGCATGCAGAACACTAATGCAAAATATGTGATTCTTCTAGGCATGTAAGGCATTAAAATAGGATACTTGAAAACCTGGTTTGTTTATTTCTGAAAGCCAGGAAGCAGTTTGTTCAAGAGCTGGCAATGTTGCAATGTTGCTGCTTCCATGGGAGCCCTATGAATGTTTCTTTTCTTTTAAGATTTGACAGTTGATACTTGTATCCAGAAAGTTATCCTAACTTCTGTAGGAGAAAGATTTAACACAAGAAACCTTCTCTCATATATTGTTCTTACATGAAAATCAAACTTTTAGGAAAAACAGAGGTTATAATTTTAATGACAAATCTTAACTTTATATATCTTGTGGAACTTTAGCAAAAACGTATTTGCATGTAAAATTTCTGTAGATTATTATGGCAAAAACAGCAGGAGGTCCAAAAGCCCCTAAGCAACAAGGACATTGGGATAAGGATGACTGGAAAGATGAGCCTGAAAAATAGTATGCAGTAAGCTCTGTTTCTCTAGCAGAGAGAGTTATCTGTGTATGTGAGTGCATGCATGAGTATATTGACAAGCATATGGCAGATGATATCTTTCTTGAGGACATGTAGTGCTGCTGTCTTACATGTGCTTGTTGCTACATTTTGTATTTGTGCCTTTGCTAATGAATTTTACACCTAAAACTAAATTTTCAGTGAAGGGATCACAAGTGCAGTTTTAGTTTTACCTTACTTGTCACTATAGCAAGTGCAGAAAACAAGCCTTTAACATGGTAGGACTATTGGACTTTATGCTTTTTGAAGTGTGATGTTTAGACTCAATAGTTCAGAACAATAGCACTGATAATTCTGCTTTCTGTAGTGTGCATCCTGTAAACCAGTCACTCATTAGCCTATTTAAGCACTCACTTTATGTAGACTAACTGAAGTCTTAATTTGCATGCAAAAATGAGGTAAAAGCCATTTTTTTGGCTCAGCTTCTGCCATTTTCAAGAAAAAATAATTAATTTGTGAATATCTCAGTTAGATGGGTAATAATATGTATTGGCTTAGGTTCAGAGTAGGGAAACTGCATGAATTTAGTGAATGTTGACAGTCAGCATCATAGGGCTGGAGTAAGTAAGGCTGGAGTAAGAGTCTGATTCTAACCTTATCTTTTTCTACTTCCCTATTATCTTCAAGATCATTATGGCAAAACCAGCTGGTGGCCCTAAACCTCCATCAGGAAGGAAAGACTGGGATGAAGATCAAAATGATTGAACTATTTAACTGTACTTCTTAAGTGACATGATTATGTGAGTTTTTTAATATTGCAGTTGGAGCCTGTCACAATGTTTTGCTCTATTGCCTTTAAGTTATGAACTGTGTCCTATGGAGTGCAGAACTTCAAATAAATGTACTCACTGTTAAAATGTTAACTGTCATTTTATTTGGACTTAGTGTGACATGGTTGTTCCCAGTATGTCAATAATGGAGGTGCATGTGTGGGGATGACAGTGTGTGGGTGTGGGGGGCTGAGCTTGGCTAGCTGCCAGATGCCCCTTACTTGCCAGGACAGAGTCAGAAAGTAAGTTGAAAAAGCTGACAGGTCGAGATAAAGACAAGGAGGTCACTTGCTAGTTACTGTCACAGGCAAAATGAATTCAACATGTGGAAAATTAATTATTAAAAATAGAGTTGGAGGGTGAGAAACAAGAACAAGAACTAAAACACCTTGTTCATCTCCCCTTCTTCCCAGGCTCAGCTGTACTCCTTCGTTCCGGACTCCTCTACCACTTCCCCTACCGCATGGTGCAGGGAATGGGGGTCGTGGTCAGTCCATAACAGCTCCTCTCTGCTGCTCCTTATGCATGCTTTTCCCCTCCCACAGGGTACTGTCCTTCATGAGCTCCTTCAGCATGGGGCTCCTCTGTGGGTTACAGTCCATCAGGAATAAGTGCTCCTGTGTGGTCCTCCCTGGGCTGCAGTTTCTGGCAGGAAAACCTGCTCCAGCCTGCTGCAGCTTCCTTCAAGGCACACATCCACCTGCTTTGGCCTGGGGGCTTTCACAGCTGCAGTGTGGAGGTCCAGCATGGTCATCTCCATGAGCTGCAGGGGGCAGCCTGTTCCAGTGTGGTCTCTCCAGGAGATCCCTGCTGGGGCATCTCCTTCCCCTCCTCCCCCTCTCCCCTCGGTGCCCACAGGGCTGTTTCTCATGCTTTTCCCCTCACAGCCGGGCAGTGTTTTGCCCTTTCTTACACAGGCTTTCCCCACAGCTGTGCCCTGCGGGGGGTGGGTCGGAGCCGGCTGGAACCGGCTGGGTCCAGCTCAGGGCAGCCCCGGCCTCTCCTCACAGAGGCTGCCCTGCAGCCCCCTGCCAGGGCATGGGCACCTGCACCTGGTACAGTGGATGAAGGAGCTCATAACCTCAGGAAACCATAATCTAACTGTTGCAGCTCTTTGTGCTCTTAATTGTGCTCCTTACCCAATATCAAGTGTAAAAAGTCAAATGAATATTGAAGTAATTAATGTCCTGGTTTCAGCTGGGATGTAGTTAACTGTCTTCCTAGTAGCTGGTACAGTGCTGTGTTTTGAGTTCAGTATGTGAAGAATGTTGATAACACTGATGTTTTCAGTTGTTGCTCAGTAGTGTTTAGACTAGAGTCAAGGATTTTTCAGCTTCTCATGCCCAGCCAGGGCACCTGACCCAAACTGGCCAACAGTGTATTCCATACCATGTGACATCCCGTCTGGTTTAGGAACTGGGAAGTGGGGGGCAGGGATTCGCCACTCGGGGACTGGCTGGGTGTCGGTCGGCGGGTGGTGAGCAATTGCCCTGTGCATCATTTGTACATTTCAATCCTTTTATTACTACTGTTGTCATTTTATTAGTGTTATCATTATTAGTCTCTTCTTTTCTGTTCTATTAAATCGTTCTTATCTCAACCCAGGAGTTTTACTTCTTTTCCTGATTTTCTCCCCCATCCCACTGGATGGGGGGGAGTGAGTGAGCAGCTGCGTGGTGCTTAGTTGCTGGCTGGGGTTAAACCACGACATTAAGTATGGCAGCAGGTCTGTAGTCTACAGACTATGAATGCCTACATTCATTTTTGTTACATGCATCTATTTCATCCTCACCCTTCAAGAGTCTCCATGCTCTCAAAATGGCAGCCTGACAACAGTGAACTGCATCTCATTCTAATGGCCTTAAAAATAAACACCAAGCAGTGATAGCTAGCATGATACAGAGTGCTGGAATCTTTCAACTGAAGCCCCTGTTAAGACTCCTCTTGGAAAGTCAACAGCTTGTGTGTCTCAGAGTAGCTGGAAAGGAGAACTGCACTTGAAATTCAAGCCACTTCAATAATTAATCCTTTTATTACGCTTGCCAGTGCTACTCTATTTCACAGCCAAAAGGGAGTGGAAGGCTAAATCAAGTCAGGGAACTATCTTATGCCTAAATAAGGCTGCCATGCAACAGCTACTCTAATGCTCACTTTATAGTCAGTTGCTGGTGTGGCCGAAAAATAAACTCAGCAAGTTTTCAGAAGGATTGGCATACTGATATAGTCAGCTGCACAAGTGCTACTGCTGATGACTGTAAGGAAGGGTAACAAGAACACATAAGACTGCCCATTTTCTTAGTAAGGTTGTTGTGAAAAATGCACTGAATGTAAGCAGCTGCTGCTGTAGCATGGAGGAGCCAAGATTTTATTTGTATGAAACACAATGTGAAGCCTAGCCTGTGGAGAGGAGAACTTGAAAGTTACAAGTCATTGTGGGACTAGTTTTCTTGCCCCTCTAGTGCAGAAAGACTATGCTGGGGTGCCTGTAGTGAAAGGGAGAACAAGCTGAGCCAATATACCAATGTAAGGTTCCCATGCAAAATTCCTAGAGAGTCTGCAAACTGAGGGCTCCTCTATTGGACATAAACCAACAGTGGAGAGAGAGCTGATGCTGAATTTGTCTCACCTCTAAGATGTGTAGGAAGAAACAGCTTCTTATGCTTGGAACCCTGTCCTAAAATACACATGGAACAGATGATAGCCAAGATAACTATAGTTCAAAATCATAGCTGGTCCCTTTAGAGCAAAAGGGCTGCTAAGATGCAGGAAACTAAAAGTAGTGGTTGCTTGTCTGGGCCAACACACAAATTACTCAAGAGAAGCTCAAAGCTGTAATTTTGAAAAAAAAAAAAAAAAATCCAACCTTTTATTTAGTGAAAACACTGGAAAAAGTATAAGTTAACCATTTGTCAGTGTGTCAGAAGAAGCATAAAGTATATTCCTGCAGTTGTATACAGTAGCTCCAACATTTAACAACATAATTTGTGAGTCTTTGCTTTCTTTCAGACCACTTGAAGATGGCTGCACATAAAAGAAGGCTTCTCAGATGAGTTACAGCAGTCGCTCATAGAACAGGAGATAGGCTTGCGAGCTCAGCACTTTTGATGCAGACACAGCTTGTACATGGGTATCACTGATGTGGAACCACTGCCCGTTTACTGGTTCAGTTTCTAAAGCTGTGAAAAGAAGAATTTAGGAGTAAAAGTTATTACAAAGAACTGAAGCAATCAATCCTGTTACTGTAGAACAGTAAGAAATAACTTGTAAAATATTTCTTATTATTATTTACCTTGAGGAGATTGTCCTCGAAGGACAAGATCAGAGAGATGGTTGTTCATACTTCTCATTTTAGCATAAGCAGTGTAGTGCCCAGACCTCATTGTTCCACTATGTTCAACAACTCCATAGAGAGAGTACAGTACTTCTGTATTCCCTTCAGCCACATTCTATAAAAGCAAAAATTTAGGTATTCAGGTATGGGGTTTTAAACAAGGCTAGAATGTAAACTCTTCACTTTGCTTTGCTTTGTTTGCTGATGAAAGGGAAGCTGGTCATTACAGATTCATGCAAGCACTACAGCTATGAACAGTGGAAGTACGCTGACTCAACTACAAGTTGCACTTGCGAGTTATCCTGTATTATCACACAAAATAACTGAAGCTTGGCAAGTGTTCTACAAAGATTCCGCTGAGCAGCTTAATTGTGAAAGCACATTAGACATGGGAAAGGAGAATCTGTTTTTCCACTTACTTTACATTTAGCTGTACAGAAAGGAGCCAAGTCTATCACTTCTGGAAACTTGATATGCCTGTTAACCTTCCGTAGATTAAAACCAGCCTTAAAGAGACAAAGTAGAGGAAAACCCCATAATGTTAAAATGTAGCATATTAAAAGCATGATTAGTTACTGCATGTTTCAGGTTAAAGTTTCAACAATACAAAATTAGTTTTACATGACACAAAATTAGAAAAAAGCAACTCCCCCCCCCCGCCAATGCCCAAGGTTTTCCAGCATTACCTTCTTGCCCTCATGTGCTGCACTGGAGCACAAGTTAAGACAGCTCTTCAACTTGTTCTTATGGTAACTTAATGGTAGCAGAAGTGGAAAAAGAACCAGCTCTAATGTACTTATATAACTACAAGGACATCTCTTGCTTCTCAGATACTGTAATGTGCCTGAGGATCTAATTTTATATCATCAGAACTGATGTAGCTTCTACTCCCCCCTTATTCAAATAATCTCCCAGTATCAAACTGGAAAAACAAAAGGAGATGATGACAAATGTTATTTTCTTAATCATGTTACTGTCTCTTGGAATAGCCTACACATTTCCATTTTCTCTGTGAAATTGTTTTTCATCTACTTAGAGCCACCTCCCTTATCTTTCAAGTATTTTGACAAAAATACAGAACAGCTTTAAATTTAGAAGAGGCAATACCATCTCCCATCCCGATTCCTTTCCTCTTTCCTTCTTGAAAAGCTAAAGCCCTAAATTAAAATTTTTCCTACAACTTGGAAAAAAGGTAAGCCACTTTACTTTGGTGTCTATAAATAAGACTTAAGTTGCATTGCTTTCCATTCATCCCTTTCTCTACACCCAACCCCCCAGTAAGGCTTGGAATCCTCTCTTTTCCAATTCTACTGACCTATTTGTTACGTTCATTTAGTAAGGGACCCTATTCTATCTGTACTGAAATGTAAGAGTCCACGAACTGCTGTAGTAGCAGGAAACAATGCCAAGATACTGCTGAATACGCTAAGCGATAACAATAACAAGGCAATGTATAGCAAATAAGCTCAAGGAACAGTGTCTTCCAGATAACTAATGGAATATTCTTTCAGGAAAATACACTCCAACTCCTCAAAGACCTCAAAACCCAACACTGTGCACCAATGCCTTCCAAACCTTGCGAAAAAAAAACCAAAAGAAAACAAAACAGGCTTATAGGAAATGAAAATATGCTAACATTAGTTCTAAATTAAGCTAGTACTATATGCATACACACATATTAAACTGATACTATATACATACACATTTTTGCAATATCGGCCTGGTACTTACCTGTTGAAACCTCTTTAAGTGAAGAGTTAAAATTGGAGGAGCAAGAGAGATTAACATCTGCTTTTTGGCATTAGTATAAACATACTTCTTTTCACCTGCAGAAAAGACAAAACACCAATGATTAACATCTAAACAAATGTTACAGGAAGAATTTCTTTAATTTTCACTATTTACACTGCTAGAACATCATCTACTACAACTGAGAAACTGAACATTCCCCTTTGTAACATCACGTTAAATGATGAACTGTACAACAGCTGCCATCTTGCAGATCCTGTATCACAAAAGTAACTGCTCACACCATGTCTGAGCAGTGTCAGCACAAGTAGTGCTTGTTCTCTACAACTCTCACAATCAGAAATTGCACGCAGCTTTTATTGGCCTTTTCAGCAAACACCAACATGACTTCCCTGACTGTCATAGCAGAATTTTCACATTTGAGGAAAGAACAGAAGTCACCTGCTAAACAGCTACTCCCTACAATCATCCACATAATGAAATTTTAGACTGAAACGCCCTTTCCCTCCCTCCAAACACAAACCCACTCATCTTTGCTCACTCTTCTTTTTCAGTCCTGCAGTATTTGTACCCAACCTTGTGAGCCTACTATGCTGCTCAATTAAGAACTTACTTGTATTAATCTGCGTGAAAGAGGTTCTCACAACCTACCCACTGAATACTAGTTCAATTGATCCAAGTTAAAGTTATACAAATACCACTTTAGGGACATTCCCCCCCTTACCCACCCAAGCAGCAGATAGGGACATATTTAAAGTTTTCTTTTAAAAGGTAATTTGTCATACTTTTTATGTTCTTCTTTGGTCCATAATGTCTTTGTGTACATACATCACAGAGTAGTTTATTGGTCTCAGTAAGCTTTTCATTACGGGTAAATTGATACAAACAGTGATGGATTGAACCTTCTTCGGGGTTCAGACCTTCCCTGTTTGCAAGAGTACAAAATGCTGTTTCTGGATCTTCAGTTGATAATTCACATGTCTTGACAGGAAGAGTTTGAAGGTCATCTAAGGTACTTGTATCAGATTCATCATTGGCACCCAAGTGTAGCTCTGAAAAGTCAGTAGCAAGCTCTTCCTCATCTTTATTTTCATCATCCTCATCTTTCAAAGACAGGTTGTCAAGGCCATTGACAAACTTCATAGGAGAATCTAATCCTTCCATAGGGAGATCCATGAGAGACTCACTTTCTATACACTCTTGTTCTGGCTTTCCTGTATTTTCATGCATGCTCTGAACTTCTGTCCTACTTCCCTGTACACTCAAGTCTTTTTGAGTTAAGCAGTGATCTCTGCCATCATTTGATGATTCCTCTTCTCTCTTCCTATCAGGAGTTTCAGAGTTAATTTCTGCCTCTGATTCTTGGTTATACTCGATGTCTTTTTCTGATTGTTCAGTTGCACAGATATCTGTTAAGCGAAGCACCTTTCCTTGAAGTTTTTGCTGGCGGCGCTGGCTCTGCACATTGGAATACATAATATACAAAAATACAAAAACCAGAGCAAGTTTACATGATATTTAGCAATTCTTACAATTACTTTATCAAAATTTTTGTAGCATGCCATAGATGCAAAGGGGGGGGGGGGAGCAAAATCTATGGTTTGATGATCAGAGGTGATCACAATTCAACCAATACTGAATTTATCCTCACTCAGATATAGTTCCCACTGCTCCTTGTTACACAGTATCTTCAAAATACAACTAACAATTTCCTTTGTATCTTCCTGATACTTTCTTATGTCCCTATTCTAAAGTTTTGCAAATATTCTTGCAATCAATGACTGGAGAACAGCTGCCTGATACAAATTAATACTACTTCAGACAGGCAACAAAAATTCCACATTCCTCTGGATATTACCTTATTCCTAGCACAGAAACTCTTAACAGAACATGTAACATCTTAATAGCAAAGACGCAGATAAAATAGGTCTTTTCAGTTGTGCATTTGAGTGAGGAGAAATTTTGAGCTGTCTCCTCCTTCATCTAAACCGAGGAAGCAGAAAGAATTTGTTTTACCAGAAGTTGCAAGCACTTCAGTAATAAAGAGTGAAATACTTATCAAAACCAACCTTGGCTTGTTTTTTGGCCTGTTTCTTTGCTTTTTTCTGAAGGTGCTTACTTGTACCAGGGGGGTCATCTCTCTGCTTAAGATAACAGTCATTGTTTTTGTCCTCTTCATCTTCAGATTCCTTTTCTTTGTTTTTTTTAATGTTTCTCTCATTTGTGATTTTTACTTTCTGCAAAAAACAAAAAGCCACAAAACAACTACAGAAGTAGAGATGTTACTGTCCTGAGTAACAAAATAGTATTCCAGAGAAAACTGCAGGGATGAAATGTTATGTGAGTTTTCAGCTCAAGATATAACATTCTAGTAACTGTAACATACAACTAACTCATTTATGCCACCCTAAAGTTTACAGAAGAGGTGTCTCACTCCAGAGGGAGTCCACATGAAACAATCACTTGCAAGAAGAAACAGTATGAAAAAGGAAGACTATCAAGGGCCAAATTCTGAACCTGTAAAGGGGCAACATTACCTTTGGCTCTAACAGATGTAAATCTCATTAAATGCACTGAAGAGTAACATTTTACACAAGTGGAGACATTTTCAGTTGAACTGCCTGCCACAGAATTTGTTTGCTTCTGCTAAAATGAAATTTGTTTGCTGCAGGAGACACATGATCCCTTTGGCTGAGGGGTTTCCATTTCCATATTTACTCAATAGCTTTTGTGTGAGCAGTGCTATGTAACAAATCTGAAATATTACATATGTGGACTATCAATATGAAACACAAGGCAAATAAAGTATTTTGAGTGTCTAGGGATCAATCAAATAAATTAATATTGATCAAATAAGTATTCACACACTATCCTACCGTTTCTTAACTTTATTCAATAACCTGAATATTATGAGAAGTATTCTTGCACTCAATGCAGAAAAATGGATGAAAAAAGTAAAAAAAAAAATAAAAATAAAGCATTCTAGCAACCACTAGACACCCATCACTGTCAGGCAATTTAGTTCAGTTTTACAACAGTGAAGATGAATTGGGAAACATTGTTCTTTGCAACTCAGTCTTCTACAATAGTGAGACAACACTGGAACATACTAGATTATTCCCTAAGCCAATCTCTACATTGGAAACATTAACTGACAAAGCAGGATGATCACCAACAGACTACCAGTAATTTTCCAGAGACAATTTATGAGCCACAACTTACAGGAATGACTCTCATGAAAATATCTTATTCTCTATCTTTCTGGGCGAATTTATAATTTTAACTTTCAAAAAAGACATTTAGAAGGATGCATAAATCCATTCCCTAGTGATTATATAATAAACGTGTTTTCATATAAGCAAACAAAAACTAAGCCAAAAAGCAAGCATGTACAATTTCTTACCTGATCATCTAGTACAGGAAGTGACAAATCGAGGAAAGACTCGTGGACCAAGGATACCTTTAAATGAATATTCAAGAGACCAATTTAATTTTCTTTGGAAGTGGCTGGCTTGCTGTCAATAGGTTTATCTGTATGTAGCCTTGTTTGCATTCAGTGCATGCTTTCACTTGTGCATACAAACGTAAACCACAGATAGTCTACCTTCACAAACAGCTATCCCTGACCAAAATCTAGCAGTCATATTACCACAGAAATAATTTACAAATTACAGTTTTCTAGTGGCCCAGAATGTGAGAACCCAACTTAGGGCCTATAAGATTGACATTTGCAATCAGTCAGGAGATTCATCCAGCCCACTCACTAATAACCTTAATTACTTCATTCTCAAGATGCATTATCCCAATAGTGCCTTCTTGCTTAACTATTTTCCTGGCAATCCCACAGTCATTGTAGTGTGGGAAAGGGAAAGTACTGCATCCAGTAAGAGTTCCTGTTTTCTCTCAGGACTCAAACAACTGTCTGAAGCTAAAAAACAAGCACCAACTTTGTACAGGTGCCCTACAAACAAAACCAATTTCCTCAAGTTATATTTTCAGTGCAGCACATGGTCTGAATTTAAACTTGCTCTTCATCTTCTAACCTAATCATCTGATGAAAAAGGAAAGGACCCTCAGCAGCACACTGCTGGTAGCAGAACAATTCATTCACTCTACAATTTGTAGCACTGGAAGGTGTTTACTAGTAATCTGAGAGTGAATTCCTCTGGCAGAGGCAGCTTGCTGTTGCTGACCTCTTTTTCTGGAAGGCTTCTGAAAGGAACTGAAAGATTAACTTTATAACATATGGGAAGAAAGATTCCAGCCAAACCATGCCCCTTTTTGAAAAGTATACAGCCAGTCAACCCTTAGAAGTATATTAACTGAAGCAAACCTCTCCAGTTTCACTTATGTCTCCATATAGTTACTTTGGGGTTCTCCTGCAGATTACATAAAATTATACTCTAGGCTATTCAAAGCAGGTAGTTTACTTACGGTTCTGCATTCCTCACACATAATTGTACTGGTTAATTCTCCACCAAAGATTCGATCTACAACGCTTTGTATTCCCTTTTTCTTTTCATATTCTGAGAATTGACAAAGTATATAGTAAAGTTAATAATATTATATATAATATACTGGCAACCAATTTAGTTATGGCATACCAAAGTAAAAAAAGGAAAGAGAATACAGTATGCAAGATGTATGATGTAATGTGTTGGCCTGTTGTGGTTTCCTCAGGAAGTACAGCAAGATTCTTAAATTAAGATTTGTTTGTATATCAAAGGAATGGGGACGAAAACACATTTGCAGAAGACAGCTTGACTGAACCAACACCTTTACCTATTTTCTCAAATGCATTTCCCTATTTTCTCAAATGCATTTCCCTATTTTCTCAAATGCATTTCCCTATTTTCTCAAATGCATTTCCCTATTTTCTCAGAAGTACTGCATCCAGTAAGAGTTCCTGTTTTCTCTCAGGACTTAAACAACTGTCTGAAGCTAAAAAACAAGCACCAACTTTGTACAGGTGCCCTACAAACAAAACCAATTTCCTCAAGTTATATTTTCAGTGTAGCACACGGTCTGAATTTAAACTTATTCTTCATCTTCTAATCTAAGTCATGTTGAAAACTTTAAGAATTCTTTTGTTCACTGTTTGGGTTTTTTTTTTATACCACTGTTAAGTAACAATGGACTATTAGGACTGAATAAATCATTACATTCATGTGCTAATATTTTAATTTCTTACATAATATTTGAATGATTAAACACTACCCAAACATATTTTAATGTATAATGTCTAGAGAATCAACCCTCTCTTTCACTGTTAAGAAGGAAATGCCACCAAGTTCAGTAAGACATTTAAATAAACAGACTAAACCATTGAGCCTTATATTCTAGATACACACATATTCAACAGATGGCATAAAGTTGTACACTTAAACATGTATCTTTTAATTGATACTATTACTTTGTGTACTTCAATGAAACAGAAGATTTTAAATTATCACAACATCAGTAACATGTATTTTACCTTTAATTTTCTTTTTAAGTTCTTCTTCATTTTGTTTGTTAGAGTCAGTCAGCGCCTTCAGTATTCCAACACTTACTTGCTGGAATTTTCAAAACAAATACACAGTATAAAATTTCCTAAACTAATTCAGTTAACTAGTTCATTTTACAAAATGTTTCAAATGGAGGAAAAAGTTTAATCTTCACCAATTAAGAGAATCTATACAAACAACACAAACACCTGTAGAGATACAAAGTAGTTCCTGCGGATATTAAAAAAATAATCAACCAAGAAACAAGCTCGCAACCGTAATGCTGCAATTAGTATGTATGAAAAATCAGTCTAAGGATGAAATACTTCCCCAAATTAAAACTGGAAAAAAAAAAAAAAAAAAAAAAAAAAAAAAAAAAAGAATTTCTACAAGTGAACTTTCAGGCATTTCAGAAATTAAGACAAAAGGACAATCTTTAGGGTGACTACACATACTCCAAACCCACTTTTTCTGTAGAAGTTTTGAACAAGTCAATCTCTTTCTGAAGTACAACAGACATTTATATATTAGAAGTGTTGAATTAACTGAAGACATTTAGAGCAAGCAAAACTGAATCCTTCTACTTAATTTTACTAGAAAAGCATAAAGAATTACCAGTACGCTGCTTTCCAAAAAGGCAGAAAGTATTATTACCTTAGAAACCTAAACAATGTGTGCAATATATATAAGACACATAGGCCACAAACAAACTTCTCTCTTTGAACAGTTTTGCTAAATGAAAACAGTAATGTCTGTGGTTGCTCCTTCACAACCCCACTGCTTAGAGGCTGCCCAGTTTTATAGCTTTGTTGCTAATCTGCTTCAAGTGCGTGCTATGGGCAGCACAAACCACTCTACAGGGGTTGACTTATCTCAGAAAGAACGATCTTTCTCCCCTCAGCAGAGGACAAAGTCTTGGTCTGGGGCATGTAGCAGAAAGGTATGTGCAACTATGAAATTAGCACTCACTTGGATTTCTTCTGCTCTCATTCCATCAAGTAAGTAACGAAGCAATTCATGACTGTCTTGCTGCTGATAACCTTTAAATCGTATTGCTCTGTTAAATGAGACAATAATTGTAAAGTATAACTGAACTTAGAGATAGACAAAGTAAAAACAATTCATACCAGACACAAAACCACAAAATCTCAAGCAAGTATGTATATAAAAGCAACAAGTGTCTAAGATGGTATTTTCTAAAAATATGAAGCTAGCTAATCAGAACGTCACTGAGTATCTTTAATTTTACTTCTATGCATTTATATTTTGCTCTTTATCCTCTTCCTTCAAAACTCGTTAAGCATTATACAAATTTTATATGCTGTGATGTGAGCTCAAGAAAAAAAAAAGGGAGAAAACTGACCTTCTTTTTAAACAACTAAAACTTTTTCATACTCACTATGACATGCAATTGTACAGATACTCACTTTTTACAAACCTGAGCAAAAAGTTCCTTAGGAGTGACTACCCCTTTTTTTGTCTCCTGCATTTCTGTCAGGAACTGATACATGGCTAATGTCAAAGGACCTGGTTGATCTAGTTTTATCAGCTGAGGTTCCTGTTTTAAACAAAAGCAACAAAGTTGTTTTGCCTTAATTTGGTGACAGACATTCTGGAGTAAGTTTTTCCTTATCTAAAACACTTCAGTTCTTGAAAACATTATTATAAAATACACAAAATTCCAAAATGGCAGTAAGTTAACCTGACAAAAACAATCAACACATGGTTTCTCATGAGATGATGCCAAAACGTTGGGCTAAGAATCATTAATTATTTATTGCTTAGTTGCAACTCTGCATTTCTTGCTTTTATTAGAAAAAAAAATACAATTTCTTAAAATGCACAACCCTTCTTTCCCATCCAAATCCCTAACTATAATGACAGGTGCGTTATTTAAGTTAGTGCTGCAGACATGCTCTAGTTTCCTATTTTGCATTTAGACAAGCGAGACCATAGCAAAAGTTACACATTTTCATCCTTTAAATAACTTAATCATAATGTAAATACTCCTTTGATGACAACTAATAGTTAAGAGTATTGAATCACTGCTCTTTTACTTTGAAAGAAAGACCTCCGTTGATTTCAGAAGTAGCTTTATGGTGAAGTTCCCACTGATTTTACATCTTAATCTTGTTAGTGTTTAGCTGAAACAGCTTTAAAATTCAGAGATGAATATTGCTTGTTTCTTTAACAGATTGGAAGGTCAGGGAGAAACATTATGAAGGTCAAAGCATACATACCATGGATAACTCAGGTGATTCAATCTTAACTGTTGTGCCAGGCATTTTAGCTTCTTTAAGCAGCTCCCTCAGGACTGGAGTTTGTGATAAATTCTGTAGAACAGAAAAGAAAGAAAAAGATTGGTAACTGGGGAACAAGAAGAAGGGCAGTTCCACTGGTCATGGAATTTGTAGCAACCAGACTAGCAGCAATTTATTTTTCCCAAACACAGAACTAGAATGGTAACTACCACTCTGGAAATTCTAACAGAGTTAACATTTAAAGGTGCCTTCCATACAGCGAACATGACTTCCAAGCGTCCTCTCTATGTATTACTTTAGATTGCAGAAACCCTAAATGTACTATTCTACAGAGTGATCTTCTGGCAGTCTGTTTACTAGTGTCTGTTTCTAAAATCAAGCATATTTGCTTAGTTTAAAACATGTTTAAAAAAAAAATGAAAATCAAAGTTTACTAAAACCTGCAAACACAGTGGGAATTTTATTCAAGTAAAGCTTCAGTATCAAGAGCCAAAGAGCACAAGATTACATGCGAGTTTTAATACACATGACAGAACAAGTTTAATCTATCCAAACACCTCTTAGCCGAGCAAGACACATGAGATGGCAATGCAATATGCTCATCCTGTTAATAATTTACTTATTTGATTTCCTGTTGCTGACAGAGACATTTTTGTTTCAGTAAACACCCACAGTCTTTGGGTATTAATCTCTTATATTTCAAGAGGTCAGCAAGGGTGATGTGCCAGACTATTTCATTTTTTTTACTAAATTAGGAAGTTGGCATTCTTAATCTACATCAGTGAAAGACACTGTCCCTCAAAGACAAGGCAGTTTGTTATATTTTCCCTTAGAGCATGTCTGAACCTGCAGCTCCATTTCTTCATATTTCTCTGGGCCAACACACTATTTTTAGAAAGAACCCATCATTCTTGGCAGATAAAAATAACATTCTAATTGGGTCATTGTAAAATACTGGGGGTGGGGTTTTTGTGGAGTCGTTTGTTGGGGTTTTTTGTTACTCAAAGTTTTTTTTAAGAGCAGCAATAACTACCATACCTGCATCACTGCATTAAAGAAACATGTATTCCCCAAGTTACTAAGTCCTTTCACAGTCACTTCTGAGTTAGTACTTGGATGAGAATTCTCTTCTTTAAGTGAGACTTCCTTTTCTTGCTCATTTTTGCTGTCCTTCTCTACTTTTTTATTTTCAAATTCTTTGTTCTCTTCTTGTTTTTCCACTGAAATGATAAAAAAATACACATATTAACCCAGTAACAGGAAATGGGATAGGAAAGTTATTATAGGCAGCAGTAATCTACAATGTTTAAAACTTAAACATATGATAATTAGTTCTGTAATTGTATAAATGTAATACTACCAGTTTAGGTTCTTAAACTGTCCAGGTAACAGGAGTTAAAAAATAAACAAAACAAACCACCACCACCACCAAAATAATCAAGAAACCCCTGAAATGCCATTTCAGATCAGCACACAAGTTAAACATGCCAATTGGCCCACAAGCCATTCATGCCAACAACTTCTGAAACTCTGCATGTGTTATCTGAAATTTCATTCCTGTTGCAAAATCACCTATGTTAGGACTTTATACAACAAGAGGGCATCTGAGATAATATCCCTTTTGACATGGCACTATTGTCTGAAATGAAATGCACAGGCCTCCCACTGTCAAAGCATTCTCATGTTCATTTCATGAACCTAAACAGATGAAACTGGAAGGTTTATATTCTTCAAGACACATTAAAGACATTTTCCCCAAAATTACTTTGGTGTATAGCTCAAACTTTCGATGACCTGTTCAATAAAACTGTGAGGGAATTCCAGGTAATTTTCAGAATAACACCCACACTAGCTCTGCCAGTTTGGCAGTCTACTATTGATTAGATTTCTGATAAAGAGGGCTGTGAGCCAAGGTTAACTTTAGAATAAAGTAACACCAGCTCAGAGGAAGCAAGGAAAACAGACAATACACTCTTTACAGGTGGACAAGAAACAGATGGATGGACAACAGATGGAACACCTGAAACAGACAACCGCACCCAGGTATTTATCTGTTTTCCAGTTCAAACCTGAGAAGAAAATTTTGGCAACCAGTATGAAATTCAAATATCGGATGTAGAGAAACTACGTATCTGGGAAAGACTGACCAAAACCACTCAAAGATTCTGGTCCCTGTGGGAAAACCTCAGCTGCTTCCTGAACAAATATTCAGAGACAGCCCCTTGGCATTGCTGGATGGTTATGATCTATTTCCCAAGGAGGCTATGATTTCACACAAGTGTAGGATGGTGTTGGCATTTTTTATAGCTATGAGTTACAGCATTTATTTTGATATGCAAATTATTCCAAGTTTTCCAGTTGAAATGCCTTGTATAAAACCAGTTTTGCCATTGTGGAAACAGGGGGGTTTGCTGGGTTTGTTTCCTTTTAAACAACCATGTTTTGCAGATAGACTGCAGGCTGAACACGCTATTTTAGAGAGTTCTGAATGCACTGCAACTACCTATACTAAATGTACAGACCCAGCAGACAAATCTTCTTGTATACTCCTTCCATTAGGAAATGTGCTGCAAGAGCTGGAGACTTAGTCATTCCAGCTGATACATTCACAAATACCTACAAAAATACCTAAAAAAAAAATCAGATCAAATGATCCTTAAGCAGTGACAATTCTTCAGATCAAGACAGACCGAGCAATACTGATGACTAAACACAGCACTTCTAAGTACTGAAAGTCAATTCCTTACTCACAGAACAACTGAACGTCACATTTAAAAAAAACCAGTCACATTAAAATTGTTTTTTTTCCTCCTATTTCTGTATTTCTGGTCTGTAAAAGTTTAGAGGACACTGAGCAAAATCCTGGTCCAATTAGGTCCACGGGCTAGGACATTACTTCTGCTATCAGAATTCTGAAAAAGGGGAAAAAAAAAAAGAAAAAAAAAAAAAGGAGGAAATCAGCTTTTTACTTTACCATTAGGTGCTCCAAAAGTTAAATCTAATTTAGTGTGCCTTCTAAATTTACAGTACTGTCTCCTAAATTTAAAGGATTTTCTGAATTACGGTATGTATACTATAATTACTTACCTGTACATGATGAGTCAATACAAACGTGTTTTCTAACATAATCCACAATCTGGCCCAATCGGGTTGAAGTGCTATATGGAACTTCATTATCGCATATGTAGCACCTGCCTCCGCCCCCCCCCCCCAAAGAAAAACAATTAATTTTTTTCCTATTGTTTAAAAATCCTAAACTATTCGCTTGTTTGATGCAATTCATTACACAAAGTTACAAAACTACAAGTTTTATTTTAAGATTTAGAAGCCTTAAAGAAGAGTTCAATCTATTCCTGATCAAGAAAATAAGAAGTTTAAAAATTATCTTTACTAAATGATTTGGGTGAATGGAGGTTGCAATTTACAAATATAAATTAGACTCTTAAAAGATGTGCTTAGAAATCTTGTTGCAAGAAAAATAAATGCAGGAAAATTTTACCAAAATCAAGAAACTAAGATATCAGGCCCTAAAGAAAATTACTTACAAATGTTATGGCATGGGAAAATATTCTGAGAATTCTAGCCAAGCAAGTACTTCATTATATTTAAATTGGATAAGAAATAAATCAGTGTCCTCCATTAATCCTGCACGCTTTTATTTGCTCTTCTGCTGCTGATAGAAACATATTTGTTTCTTTATGAGCAAAGAAGTGCGTGGTTAGGCCACTAATCTCTTTTAAACAAAATTGTGAGAGAAGCTGCAGTGATAAAGGCTCAAGTAAGAGTAAAATTCTGCCAGAACACATACAGCTGAAGGAGAGTGCTATGTACTGATTTTGTAGTTCTGCCCAATCAGCTCTTTGAAGAGGTAACAAAAGGTATTGAAGAGAATACTTCTGCATTTTGAAACACACCAGTTACAGTTCTTAGGCACAAATGCATTTAGCAGATTTCACAGTTACCGTAAGTCAGGCTCTATTTTATGATATGAAAAGCAGCAGAAGCCTGTAGCAAAGTGCTTCCTTAAATTTCCAGCATCCCTGGCATTAGCTGCAATTTTCACATTTCTTCATGTCTCATTAAAAGAATTGGCTTGACTTTTGGATCCCTAAGTATGTATTTTTTGTCTGTCTGGTTAATTATAAAAATAGTCATTCTCACTCCTGGAATAACAAACGAGTTACTTCTATGGGCCATTTTAACATCATAACCTTTCATCCCTCAAAAATTTTGTAGGTAACCTTCAAGGAATCAAGGGATTAGAAAAAGTTTTTCAGCGATGGCTGTTTGACTAGTGGGGGAAAAACGTTAAGTATATCCAACTGCTATGTCATACCAGTACTGAAAACGCATACAATAGCACTCGTTGTAAACCCAAACCAGCAGAACTTAATGAATTACTAGAACTCTCCTCTTTCTCCAAGTTCAAAATGTTTCTTTCAACTGTTTACAGGTACTATTCAAATCCAATTTCAACCACATATGCATGCACACCATAGAGAGATTTACTCATACATTCATATCATTAATAAATTCTGATCAAAACTGCTTTTGCTTTCATGTACTAGGCCCACTGTGAAATACAGTTCTTGATTGTAGGTTTGATTTATAACAATAATTTATACCCAATATATCAATCTCTGAATAATTTCTTGTGCAAGTTTGTACAACCAAGAGATTCTAGAAGGAAACAAAACATCTTGCTCAGAGAATGTCCTCTCATTCTCAAGTACTTAGATTTAAAAGTTATACAAGTTTTAGAACAGAAGAAGTAAAGCACTCACTTCAAAACTGTAATTTTAACACAAATTTAAATTCACAAAAAGAAGTTTACTACTTCATTAGTAATACATGTTATTAATAATGTCCATTTCCATTCTAGAGTTCAATAAAAATACTGATCATTACACATAAAGGTGCTAAATATGGCCAAATAAAGAGATAATGTTATATAAAATGAACATAATGACAAATAATAAGTTTAAAAAAGGTTACTAAGAAAAATTAAAACTCTAAGTCAGGCACAGTATTTCTGCAGTACACAGTTTAGAAAATTAAGGTTCCCCCTTATATAGTAATGCACTATTCCTTTTAAAAGAAGGAAATACGACCAGGGAGATGGAATTTGTATTGATTGATCCAGTAGCATCTTGAAATTCTACAGCTGTGCTTCTTAACTATACATATAGTTTTAAGAAGCCATATTTATTGAGAAAATAAAAATAATTAAATTTGTCACTGTGTGCGCATCAGAAAGGAGCTTCTCCTAAGGCTGAAAATTAAGATTTAGAGCTACATATCAACATTAGTTTCCATGTGTCAGTATTGTGACCAAGCAAAAGCAGTAAAATATGAAGTCAACAGCATTTGCTAGTTGGTCAATTTCAACTTCAATTATGAAAAGTTTCTAGTTACGAATATTACAAGAAAGTAATACTTATTCAGCAAATCTCAGCAAAGACTGCTGGGATTTTTGTGTGTGGAAATGCTTCATATACATCTAGAGATAAATCCTAGAATTCACAGAGAAAAGAAAACACAAATTACATCCCAGCCTCTGTTGCCCTCTAGCTCTATCTTATAAATGTTGCCTGACAAACTCACCACACACTCCAGTTGTCCAAACTGAGAACCAAACAATGGGGATCTGATCTTGGCGTTGCATAATGCTTTAAAGCGTGCTGTTCTTGAGAATTTCTGCCACAGCCCTATAAAGTTGATAACCAGAAGTGTCACAAAATCCAGTTGACTATCAATGAAACATACATAAAGTCAGAGTATAAACAAAGTATTAAAATGAAAACTGTTTAATTATGTTAACTAAGTAGGATAAACAGATGGGTCGCTATGTCAAGACACTTATTTCTGCAGAGAGAAAGGTAACTTACTGGGTGCAGAATAACCATAAAGTTGCTCAGGGACTGAACATCTAATTTATAAATTCCAGTTTGAACAGCTTGAAGAACAAAACAGAACAAAAACCTCTTCACCATGCAGAGTTCTAAGTTTAATAAACTAATGTGACTGTAAGACCTTTTTGTAAAAATCACAAATTAGGAACATTAACAGAAATTTTTATTTTCTTAGCAAAATAATTTGGACTTTCTAGGAGAGTAAGTCCTCAAGATTGCGTTTTAGCCTTAAGTCTGCTAAATGCCTTTGTGCCAAGCTTCTAAGTACTTCATCTGCAATTCAGAGCAGACATTTTTTAATCACACTAAAATATACAAAATCATTTATGTAGCACCACCTTTAAAATAAAAAAGTGATAAGAGTTTAATTAGAAGCTCTCTTGTTCCACTATATTATGAGGCACTGAAAGATATTGAGACAAATTAACAACAAAACAAGAGATACCCTGTGGCCACATTTTAGACATAACCATATCGAAGGGCTTTCATCAGTCTCCTCCTCAGATTTCTCTTGTGTCTTATTGTCTGCCTTGCAGTCCTGACAAACACGCCATTCCACGTTCAGCAGTGCCTTTTTCAGATGACCTTGTTCCAGTCCTTTACCAATATGCTTGCACACAGGTGCTACAAAATAAAAAGCACAAGAAGGATATAGGTATCATAACAAATGTATATGTCTCTAGGCTTCAGAGACACAGGCAGCAATCCAGAAGCTAGGATAGCTTTTCTAGAGTCAAAGAAACATTGACAATTTAGCACATATATCAGAAAGAAACCCTTTGTTACCCCCATTCACAATCCAGGGATATTGTTGCTGCATCCTTAATTACTGCATTACTAAAAAAAAAGAAAAAAAAACCAACAAAAAACCCCAAAGTATCACTCAAATCTACATCTAGTCAGAGGAGTTGACAAAACCTTTGGATACAAACCTACCTACTGTGCCAGGCTGTGGGCTTCTATTATTGTGGCGTTACGATTCCCACACCTCCCAGGGAGCAGCCACAGCCCACTGCCACGGTTCCCAGTCACCAAGGCAGCACCTGGCTGGCCTATAAAAGTGGAGATTATGGAGGTTACGCTTCCAGCTGAGCTGCCTCAGTGAAAGTATGCAGCAGACTATGATAAAAACAAATGGCAGTGTCATCCTACCTATACCATTATCACTTTGCACTACAATACTACACCCTACTTGGACCTGCACCTTCTGGGCCTGGTGTGAACTCTTATCTATTTAACCAAACTCTGCTAAGAATTGTTACATGGAGAACAGGCATCTGTTACTATGGGCTACTATCAGGAGTTTGTCTTATTTCTTCTTTAATTTTTAAGTTTGTTGGTTACACCAACACTTGAGCAAAGAGAAGCTGCCTCTAAGCTTAAGTAACATACAGAGAAATTGCGATTGACAGACAATGCATACGCAAACTGATTCAAGTTCTTCCAAATAAAAAATGAGGGACATAATTTTTTTTTTAACCGTGTAGGTTTCCAAGACATTTATCATCAGCAGCCTACAGTTCTTCACTATTTGCAGTTACAAACGTCTAAATTTGCAAATACAGGGACAAATATCTGACAGTACAAAGAATTACCTCAAAAGTCAAAAAGCACAGAGTAAACAAACCCATGCTAAAAGAAAAACACTGTATGTACTTAATATGTTAAAAAAAAAATTACATTTTTGTGAAACTATTATTGAGAAGAATTATATAGTTGTTTACATAATTCAACTGTCTTAAGTCCTTTGCCACAGAGATATTTTTACTGCTCAGATAGCATAACAGCTCTGAATTTGTCTTTGTTGAGGACCATATGCTAGATTACAGCCTCAAGATAGCAAACTTTTCTTGGAATGAGCTGAAACCAGTCAAAAGTTTTGTACCTACAGTTCTGTTTCTGTCCAAGATTATAGTATTTTACCACAGTACAAATGCTAGCCAAGGAGAGCCAAATACGGATATTTTGATGCATTATTTCAGCCTTTTTAAAAAACACAGGCTTCATCTACAACTTCAAAACTGGTTTTTAAATAAACCTTTTGTATATTGGCTGCTTCTATACAGTGGAATTATTCACTATGATCAGTCTTAGTTTACATCTGTGGCTTTACAGGACTTTGTCAGGGTAAGCTAGCCTATTTTAAGCCACAGAAGTGCAATGCCATCAGCAATTTCACCATAACTGATTTTTTTTGCTGGAGAAAAATGAGGAACAGTCATAGCAGATATTGATCTTGACTCCAGAAAAAACCAAACAAAACCCCTAAAAGCAGCTAAAAAGCCATAGGAGACAGAAGCTACCACAAGACCAGGACAAGCAGGAAACCAAAGTAGAATAGAATTGGATTTAAGATAAAGAGGCCGTCACACTGAGCCTCTCGGCTAAAACTGTAAGCGCTCTTTCTTCCAGCTAAATTAGCATGGCTCAACTTGTTTCCCCGGTCAGGATCAACAAAAAAGATGGGAAAGACAGAATCTGTGACCTAGTAGACAAGGTGGTAGAAGAGAATGCTATGCAGCACAAGGAAACACAAGAGCTAGAATAACCAGGGTAAACAAGATAACAAAATTTCAATACAGGGGTGAGATCCAGCTAGAATGATAACACTAACAATTCGGGATTTTCTCTAAAGGAATCGAAGGCAAGGAAGAAAAAGAGGTTTTAAGGGAAAAGCACTATGACTAGAGAGCTGAGGTGTCCAGGGCTGGTATCAAGTTAGTTGCTAGTGTAAAGACAAATGGTTTCACAGAAATATTTTAATCACAATCTTTTTTGCTGGAGTGAGAACCTTCTGCAACAAAATGTGCATTAGGAAAATGCTACTTAAACTTATCATGACAAGCTTAGCAGCTGACTCTACTAACCCTTCCTATTCTGAGGAATTTTATATGATTCAACATGATCTGCGTACCAGTAAAGAACTGTGTGTCTGAGTTTCCTGAAAATCAGAAAACAATCCTGGTTTTCAAGACAGGATTATTATTTTCTAGCATACTTAGAAAAGTAGCAACATTAATATTTCTTGGTAGACTTCAGTTTCAATTATACAAACACACACTTTGTAAATGAGACTTCAAAGTCAGTGACTAGTGTAAAGGCCTTCTAACATTAATGAATTTTCAAGGCCTCTGTGAGGTTAAAACAAACATTAGGACCACAGACTTCTCTGAGAACACATACCCACATACTCCATATCCAGAGTCTCGTCAGACTGTGCAGTTTTGCCTTTGATGCGTTTCTTTCCCATATTTGTAGTCTGTTAATTTTTCTTACATGCAACAGTGACCTAGCAAAGAGAAACAGTAAATTAGAAAGTAGGTTTTGGTTTTACTTCTTCATTGCTAAACAATGAATTATTTCTATGGCCGAGATGTCCCTTGAGATGAATTAACTTGTTTTAATTTGACATTTTCAAAAGAAAATAAATTAATTATACATTAACATGAAACAATTGTAACGGTTGTAGAGGCAAGATCACAGTGTGAATTATAAAAACCAAATGATCTAAAATCTTAAATCAAAAGCGTTGCACAAAAGAACAAGATGGGAAACTGAAGTATCAAAAATCCTATAAAACTTTAGGACTTGTACTAACTAGTAACACAGAGATTTTTCGGAAAAAGAATTGTCTTTGTCCCATTTAAACCTTCAAGTTTTTTTACAATTACAGTCTTTCAGTTTTCCTTACTGCAAATTCTTTGTATCTTTGATGAAGTCTGACACATGCAAATATGCTAATATATTGGAAAAAATACAGACAATGGGAGTTCCGATTTTTCAGTTTCTTCACCGGGGGAGATTTATCATCAACTTCCCAACATACCAAGCAAATAATTCAGATAGGGTCTGATATTTGGTATGCCTGTAAACCCTTCTAGACAAGAGTGATCTACCACTAGAGAGTCCTAAACCAAGTGCTTGCCTTCAGAAAGTTGGCTACTGCACATACGGTAGGACATTTTTAGCTTCTAGTCTGTAGCCCCTGTAAGGCCCTGTGCCTTATTGCACAAAAGATCAGGGAAAGTAAAAAAATTGACATATGCTGTACAACGAAAACGTGCAAGCTGAAAGGGTTCAAAATCAAGTCTCTGCAGTCTTACGCAGTCTTTGCAGACTGGCCTAACCCTGCTGTCCATCCTTCACACAAACATGTTAGCACAGTGCTAAACCTGACGTGTAACATTCGTCCTTTCAAAACCATTTCTTAGCTCGTGCTCAGCAACACACCAGCCACAGAGAACAGCTGCCCACTTGCAGCTGTCACAGCCAAAAAACGAAGCCAGCCCACGAGAATCAGAGAGAAACTAAGGTGGGAAAAGTTTAGGTGCGATACGCAGACAGGCCTTTTTGTATGAAAAGCCTTTTTGAAGCATGCTTTTAGGACAGATTACCCAGTCATTAAATGACAGGTAGGCGGCCACTTCATTAAGAGTGGAATTACCAACTTTTGCAATTTAGCATTCAATCTGTTCACAAAAAGAAGTGACGGTTCATCCAACAAACTCCCTCCACAGCGCATTTTTCCACAAAAAGCTACACTATTTTATGAACAACTCTAAACTGTTAAAATCCTTATTAAAGTGACTTTGCTCCTGCCAGGAAAGCAGGGCAGCACGAACACATGTAGCTGTTAATTTAACCCACGCTGTGTCCGGACAGACTTGTCTGACAGGCTCTTCACCAGCCTTTTTCACGGAACGGCCCACGCGAGGAAACGCGCTGCAGAGCCCAACAGCTAAAGCAATGAAACAACCGTTGTATTTACTTTTTTTTTTTTTTTTTTTAACAAAAAAAAAGCCGCCCGCAAACGGCCGAGAGTGCACCTGCGTCCCACGGAGACCCGGGAAAAATGCCCGCACAGGCACGCCTGCGAAACCACCGGGGCGCGGCGGGCGGCCGCCCCCCCCCGTACGGCCCAGGGGGGGG